ACGTACATAAACGTTTTTGTGTCATAAGAAATATTTTATTTTTTTTGTTTGAGTCCAAATCTTTGACATGATCTACATACAATAATCTTGAAGAATGGTTGTGTACTTCATAAACACACACACTTGCATAAATAAATCTGAATATTATGGCAGAAGATCACTTGAGCGCCTCTATCTGTACACAGTCATTCTCCCAAATTTAAACGTTCTTATAAAAGAAAAATTTTCATTTATAAAAATATTAAAAATTCAAAATGAAAGAAAAATAATAAGAACAAAAAAAAAATGAGTCCAAAAAACAAATCGTTACGTCACAATGTCACACTAATTTCGTGATCATGAGATTCTTATGAAATTTTCTGTTTTTATAATTTTCACTATTTTCGAATTTTTTTCAAAATTAAAAGATAATAATTTTCATTTTATAAAGAGGACACACTATAAATATTTTGCTTGAACTATAATATAAAACTTTTAATAGTTTCCTCTGTATATAAAATATGCTTGTGTGTAGGTACTGCATACCAGGTGTTACAATAAATTAAAAATAAATTGAAAATTACGAAATTTTTTCGAAATATTTATTGGAGTCGAAAAATTCACTTTATTTTCTAATACTACTTTTGCTTAATGTAAGTCTTCAAGATTCTAAATTTAAGCATACACGTATGTGTAATGTAATCATTGTACTTAATAAGCACACATGAATTTTGTAATTCCACTATTAAAATCAAGAAAAAGAAAAATGTCTTCTTTTCTCATTCTATCTTTTGCAATTACAAATTCTACAAATACTAATTAATATTCAACATTACTAAGCACATAAGCAGACCATAATTGGTGGGGGTTCTCAACTCTTCAATATGCTTGTAATAATTAATTTATTATGGAAATGAAAAAGAAAATAATACAAACATAATGTAAGAATGAGAAAATATAAAAAAAAAATCTTATATAAAATTTAAATACAAACTTCCATATTTAAAAAAAAAACATCGATTGTAAATTGTTTTCTTCCTTTTTAATAAATTTCTTCAATTTCCAATTTCTTTTGATAAAGAGATAGTATGACAACACTTGCGAAAGAAAATAAGTGCCATTACAAATGAATCTTAACATATTTTTCAAATTCCATTCCTTCATAGAGCGTAAAGCAATTCGGAAACGCGGTCTCTAGAATTGTGAAAAACAGCGTTCCAAATTTGGGCACCTTTGTGTTATTAATTCTCATCAACTTGGTTTTCACTATGTTTATTTTCAAACCAGTTTTTTGTCTGTCTACTAACTTAAGTTGCATATAATACAATGATGAACAGAAACGGAGAAAGGGGACATCCCTGTCTGACTCCTATTGTTATCTTGATGGGAACTTTGAAGTTTGCCATTATGTAAAAAACCTGCATTATAAGTGCCTTTTTAATTTGTATTAATTTGCCAGGGATTCTGTTCTCTTCAATGCAGGTCAGATCGTGCATCGCTTGATTGCGTCGAAATCACCTACCTAAATGGGATTAAGCATGTTGTTGTACTGATTGCCCATACGTTGTTTAAAATCAAAAATTAATTTGGGCAGGAGAAGTCAAACAAAGTGAAACTTTCAAGAAATTTCAACACTACCCAAAATTACAGCCATACCGAAAAAACTTTACTACTTGTGGAACAACTTCACTAGTTTTTCATAATTTATTTTATTGCTAAATTTTTCATACCTATATGACAGGCGATTTATAAGATAAACGATCACGATCATAAAACGTTGAACGCAATTTTTCTGATTATTAATTTGTCGACATAATTATATGCTACTCAAGTATTTTCCTTTAAAATTTTTTTTTATTATAAATACAAGCATGTGTACCATTTGTATGTTTGAACGGGTGTGTACACTTAGAAGGTATTTTATACTCATATGTACATAATTGTGAAGTTTTTAACATACCGTTTTAAAAATTTATTCTTTTCCTTTTGCTCATTTCTGTTTTTGTTTTTATAATTTTGTCATCATCTATATTAAGGAAATGCGCCTAATTTGAATTAATCAGACGTGATTTAGGAAAAGCCGGTTGATCATAATATACTAATATTTTAATATATTTTGTACACATTATGATGAATGTACATATATACATACGAGTACATACATATAAATAATATTTGTGTATGTATGTATAAAATATAATGATATGAAAAGCTTTATAAAATACACACGAATTATTTTTTTTTTGTATTTTGATAATAAATATAAAAATATTGTAGTTTAGTAAGAAAAGAAATAAGAGAAAAAAAAATGCAAAATATATAAAAAGACAAAGAGACAAAAAAAAATTAAATTATTTTTTTTTTATATCTTTTCACTTTTTGAGGAATCTTTGAAATTATTTACAAAAAAAAAAAAAAATACTCCTAAAGTGTTTTTAGGGTTTCCACAGCCATAAAATACTTAAAATTAGTTTTAAACTATCAAAATTGAATTCTTTGCAACTCTGTAACTACTCTGTATCTTCCTAAAACTTGACTAGAAGCTTTTCTTTGAGATGAAAACATGACAAGTTGTCAACAAAAAAAAGTCATTGCCATGAAATTTCTTTACGATCCCTTAAAGTATGCATTTTAGTTACGTTTTAATCCCTAAAAATATTCTTTTTTCAATGTAGGCTTTATTTTGGAAAAAACTAACAGACAACCAAATTGCTTTTTCCAAGAGATCTTATACATACAAAATTATAACAATTTCGTTCATAATGAAATGTGAAAATGCTACCAGACAGTGACACAAGAGAGTAACAACATACGCACTGGAATTATTAAATAAAGCCGTAGTAATTTGAGTCTTAGTAAGACAGATGAACAAACTAATTTTATGAATTGCTTTTATTGATTATTTTTTTGGGTGTATTTAAATGCCATATTGTATGCCATTAAATTCACGAATAATAATTTTGTGTCATTCTATTTGGCTACAAAAATTATTTGAAATTGTAACACTCACTTAAAGTAATTGTTTACTATAGTTTCTCACTACAATTGCTTCTCACTAATAAAAATTCATCCAATTAGGAATTCCATCTATGTCAAAGAGAACGTAATTAAACAAATCGTTTTACTCACTTGTTTTAAAGGAACAATTTCTTGTGTGACCGCCCGATTGTAAAAAATTTTCATAATAAAATTTTAAATTATGACAAAATAATAATCGTTAGCATTACAGAACAAATTTATTTTTGCAGTTTAATTTGTACCAATTACATAAAGTTTCCCACGCAATATGTAACTGAAATTTTTTTGCTACATTCCTGAATAATTAATTACACACAATTAAAATGATTCAGAGGCACAAATACTTTATGACATTATGAATTAAACGAAGAATACGAGTAGCTTATCAGATAGGACAAAATAGTTTAAAATTCTTTTACAAATACGGTAATATTACGGTATTGGCATTTTTAAGATATAATCTGTTTTTTTATGGCACGTGACCGAATTTTTTGAAAATTTGTAAGACACAATCATGTTACAATAAAATTCAAGCAGTTTGTCATAACTATATTCTGAAAATATGCCATTCTATTGGCTTTTATTCGCCATCATAATTACCTTCATATTATAATCCAATAAAACTTGAAAACATAATTAAAAAAGAAAACATTTTTTCCAATATTTTTTGGTTACACACCACTAACAATTAACAAAGAAACAAAAACAATTTTCTATTAAGAAACTTAATTGTGCATTCAGTCCGTTACGTAACTTTTCTTTGTATTCAAAAATTTATGAGGGAATAAATCACTTTTAATTGATGTTAACTAAATAAAAATTTATTTTTAATATTTCTTTTATATTCCGCAATAATTATCAAGAATAAAATGTAATTAAAAAATTTAAAACAATAAACAATAACTATAAAAATTCGATCGCAACAGTTTGAAATCAAATTATGTGTGGTATATAAAAATAAAATAAAATAATAAATTTGATATGGAGTACTCCTTTTTTCATTAATACCAACTGGTAATACTTAATTATAGCAATTTGGTCATAGTAGAATTGAAAACTCTATGGAAAATAAAATACTATTAAAGAGTTTTTATGTTTGTATTAAAAACAAGAAACAGACCAAAACAGACAGACTGAAAAAGCACCTCTGTTTTTTACGTTTGCACTTATAAAAAGTATTTTTAATTTAAAAATTACGGGGTGCTTTAAAATTAATTAATATTCTCGGAATTCATAATTGGCCTGCATAGAACCTTTGTAGAGATATAGTGCTATAATGGAAGGCAAGAGAAATTTGAGTTCAAAATTAAGTTGAAATACAATTCATTGTCACTGATCTCGTCACTTTGTTCTATATTGAGGCCCTTTATGTGAAGCTAATAGCATAAGAATTAAAGGAAGTCCGTGTTAACAATTCTTATGTCACTTTAGTGCCCTATTTTCAGTTACAAAAGAGTATGCTCAAAAGATATTAAAATGTTTAAGCATTTTTAAATTTCAATTCAATTATGCCAGGAGAAGGAGTACATTGTTTATTAACATTTCCGGCATGAGAAATGTAGCTTATAGCTCAGGATTTACTTGTCATCTTACATACTTTCGATTATCATTTCTATTAAATTTGATTCCCATTTTTGATAGAAATTATTTCAAAATGGCCCATACTTCAATATTGTATATAAATACTTCCTTCTTCATTTCTATTTTGTATTTACTGCACAGATTAATAATTTTCTTATGTTACTCCCAAAAGTTTTGAAAGTTGTCTTCCCTTATATGAAACTCTTTTATTTTAGCACATCAAAATGATTTATAATGGCATTGTTTTAAAAGTTATTCAAATTACAGTAAAAGAAGCTTATAATTAATGATAATAATTTTGAAATTTTCATATTAGCAATTTATGTACATACGAATACATAGATATATTCAATTTTATATATAGAGAATAAATGAAAAAAATACTTGGACAATAATTTGTTTAACTCAAAGTTTCCAATACATATGCATTTTTCCAACTCCAATTGAAACAAAGAAAGAGAAATAATAAAAACACCCTGCTTTGATAATCATTTAAAAAATGTTCTAAAAATTTTTATATTTTTCCGAGGGCTTTGCAAAACTGAACTGCCAAGGCGATCACCAGTCTTTCATATCATTTGAATCTTTATGTGTACTTTATATATGTGTACATACATATATATAATATACATAAATATATGCATAAATAATTCTGTTTTTTTTTGTATTTTGTTTTGATTATTATTTTTTTATTCTGAAATGTTATAATTGAGTCGTCTCTCGATTGTACACTAGTTGAGTTCGCGTTTATTTAGTGTGGTGAATTCGTTTATTTTTCCGGTACGCAAAAGAACAATTTATCACAAATAAAAAAAAATTTAAACAAAAATAAAATCGAAGTATTCGAAAATAAAATTGAATATAGTCATTTTAAATATTATAAATTGAAATTAAACAAATTAAGTTTTGTTTTTGGTTAATTTCTTCTTAAAGAGATTTTTCCAATTTTCATACCAAAATCAGAAAATCATTAAAAAAAATTAAATATGCCAAGAAATCGGAAAAAGAAAAATAATAATAACCAACAAAAGAAAAAAAATAACAACAACAATAATAATAATAACAATAATATCAACAACAGCAAGCAAATTCAAGAAAAGACACTTGAACAAAATGAAAAATGTAATGCGGTAGTCGCGACCGATACAATTAATGCTAATATTACGACAAATACTACTGCTAATACATCTACAATAATTATAGTACCAAGTAGTGAAGAAAAGAGCACCACAAAAAATAATTGTATTGATGGCAATGCTCCAATTTTAAATACAACTAATGAAAAAAAAATTAGTGAAGTGGAATTCGCATGTGCTATTCCTTCTGTTTCTCCTATAGCTACTCCTAATACAAATATAATTAATGATACCGACATTCATAATAATGATCATCATCAACATATACATAATAATGATGATGATGCATCATCATCATCATTATCCGCATTTATAAAATCACCATCACCACAACATCAGTCAACGGTATATAGTGAAACGACTATAATCGACGAATCGATATTAAATAATAATTATAAAAATAATAATAAAAATATTAGCAAAAACGATAATAAGGAAATTGAAAATAAATTAATTAAAACCGATACAAGTACTAGTAACGGAAATAATTTTAATAATAATAGTAATAACGTTAATATCGAAGATATAAATAATACTGATACAATTTTTATTGACGAAAATTCGATAAATTTAATAGGCAAAACGGGTTCATCGACATCAAAAGATGCTCAAATACCAAATGATAATGATACTGCCGGCAGTGTCACACTTATACGTAAAGAAAAAATTGATCGTGAAATGCAAATATTTAAAGACTTAAGTAAACCAGAATCCTCATTATCTTCCGAGAATAATGATCCGGAAAATGAATCGAGTTCCTCAAATCGAGATAATCAATTATCGATACAATTAAAATCAATAACATATCATTTAGATCCAAATCATGAAAGTGATAATAATGAAGATTCGGAAAAAGAAAAACCCACCATAATAAAACATGTAAAGGAAACGATTTCGGAAGTTGTATCTGTGAAATGTGATAAAAGTTCCGATAACAATAAAATCAGTTGTAGTGCAATAATTGAAAGTGAAAAAATAGAATGTACAGAACCAAGTTTTATTGATTCATTAAAAAGTGTTTATGAAAATATTTCGGAATCGTCTTCGCCGGAAAAAAAATCGGAAACGGTATCGGAAAGCGGTAATGTTAATATTTCGAATAAAAACGAAAAATTACTTTCAAATACATTAAATGTAGATGAAACAATCTATGATAATGTTTCGCAAACGGGTACTGATGTAGAGGAAACGTTTTCAAAAATTATTGCAGAATTTGATAAATTAGATGATGACATTGATTCTGCGTTCCTTGAAATTAGTAAAGAAGACACAAAATCTGTAAAAAATGAACCAGAAATCGTTATTGAGAAAAATTCGGCCACAAAAAAGACAACTTCACAGGAAGAGTTAAGCATAATATCTGACAAAGCTTCGAAGCCGTTCCCAATTTCCACAAATTTGGAGCCAAAATCAGCTACATCTAAGCCTAGCGTTAAAATTCATAAAATTACTGTAGAAAGTGAATCAAAACCAAATAATGATAGCGTTCAAAAAACATTGAGCGATGATAATGTTGAAGAAACATTTTCGGAAATAATTTCGAAATGTGATAAGTTAGATAAGGATGTTGAAGAAGTTTTTGATGAAATAAGCAAAGATGAAACAGAAATATTGAAAAGTGATTCGGCAAAAGAATTAGATGAAATGATAAAAATTTTAACTTTAGAATTTAAATCTGCCGCAAATGCTAAAGAAACTTGTAAAGAAAAAGATCGTGGTTATACAGTTCTATCGCCGACAAGCTTAAAAAGCTCAGATGACAACCTGCAAGAGAAATTTACAAAATCCAGTGAAATGGTAAGACAACTAACATCCGACAGTGAATCAAAAAGTCTTGCAGAATCTACAGAAGATCTTAATTTTACGGTTACATCACCAATAAGTTTAAAAAGTTCAGATGAAAACTTAAGAGATAAAGCATCCCATTTTGTGACTATAGAAGAAATAAACGAGGGATTATCAAAAATGCAAGATATAGAAAAAGACAAATATCAGACACAACCTGTGCAAGCCAATTTTGATTACAGCAGAATGAATCCGTTCTTAATAGATAATACAGTCACAATAGAAGATTTGGATGAAGATGATGACATTGTAATATTAAATGAATCTGATGATCAAAATAAAATTCCACCCAAAGATTATAAAACAAAAAAAAATACAAAAAGAATTGCATTACAAACTCATTTTCTTCCACAAATTATTGAACCAAGATATTTGGATTGTATTAAAGAAGAAAGTAGTGATTTAAGTGACATTGATAAAAGAGAAGATTCTGATATTGTTCAAAGTAGTTCAGATGCAGGTAGTGCTACCGGTATTGGCATAGGTAGTAATTTTGATGATCTTGAAGATGAAGTATTTTATGATAATGAAATTTATCAGAAAGCAAATGCAGTGTATCCCAAAATTCAGTTAGATTTTTCAAAAAAGAAAAAAAAAGTTATTGGTGTTAGGCACCCAATTAAAGCAGATGTTATATCAGAAGAAGATATTCAAACAATTGTTGAAACGAAACTAGTTGAACAACCTTCAATTGAAGAAGGATGCTCAAAAACATGGTCAAAAAACTTAATACCATCATCTGAACAAGCTGAAGTAATTTATTTAAATTCAGCTTCAAGTAGTTCATCTGATATTATGGATTCAGATAATGATACAAAAGACACAAAATCTACTAATGAATACAATGTAGATGAAGATGAATCTGAAACAAGAATTAAAACGCCAACAATCGATTATCTTCATGATCCAACAAATAAAACACTTGAAAATTTAACAACGCAATCAAACACTTCAGAAAGCAATACAAACCAGGACGAGCAAAAACAAGAACAAGAAAGACTAATACAATTCGAAAAACAGCAGCAACTACAACAACAAAAAATTTCTTCTCCTACACATCAAAGCAATGAAAATAACAGTACTACTAATAATACTCTTAATAAAAATAATGAAAATGGAGAATTTTCGGAGAGAATTCATCCAGTAAATGAGAAATTTAACACTCAAAAGAATATCGATACAGCAAGTAACGATATTCATATGAGTTCGACACCTGTTAGTGGTATTATTAATAATTTTATGATTTCACAAAATACAAAATTAGTTTCCAATGAAAATTTAATGATAAAAGAAGAAAATTTAGCGGAGAATTTTGCAAAAGAAAATTTAATAAATGAAAAAAATGAAAATATACTAATACAAAAACAATTACCACCTACTGGAAATATAGAAAAATTCGATGAAATAAATAATAATAATAAATTATCATCAGATACAAAAATAACAACAAAAATTACTGAAACAACAACAACAACAACAAAAATATCTACATCGTCAGAAGAAAAAACAACAACAACTGAATTAAGTGAGAAAAATTTAAATATACATAATAATAAAATTAACACAAACAAAATGGTAAATTTGAATATGAATTTATCAAATTTAGAAGAAAATTCAAAATTGGATGGCAACACTCTGAAAGGAATTTTACGGCAAGAATCAGCAGAAAGTCATTGTTCAGCGCAAAGTCACAGTACCGTTAGTAGTCAGTGCACCGCTATTCGAAAAGGTATGTAAAATTAAAAAAATAAAATACAAGTAAAAAATTACAAGAATTTAAAAAAAAATGAAAAGAAATTTTTTTTTTAATTTTATTTTAAAAAATTTAACAAAAAAATGTGGAATCTTAAAAAAATGTTGTTATAAGTGTTAATCCAGCTAAAAGAAAAAAAACCAATCATGATGAAATGGAGAAAATTATTTTGACGCAGTTTTGTTTTTTTGAAAATATAAAAATATACACACACATACCTGTGGTGAAGCTGCATATGAAATTTTTAATTTGATTTTTTGAAAACTCTTGATAAAGTACCCGAACGTGTTTCGTTGCCGGATTTCTCCATGTTTTTACCATACACTAGCCAGGATAATTAAAAGTCAGCTGTTTGTTTTTAATTTGAGATAAGCATAAAAACGTCAACGCGTCTGAGCGCGTCCAAGTAGTTTTGAAACGGGAGAAAAATTATTAAACTCGAAATTTTTGATTTTTTTTCGCAAATACTTATTACGTAATTTAAATATTTAGAAAAAAAATTAAACGGAACAATCGCAAAATTAAAAAAATATAGGAGACAAAACAAAAAAAAAATAGAATGAAACAAACAACCTTGAAATAAAGAAAGCATCACTCATCAAACATTTAATTTCATGTTTGTTTATAAAACGACTTGTTTCTGTTTTTTTTATTGTTTTTTATTAGCATCTCTAAATAAAACACAACTATTATAATTTTTGTCCTGATTTTTAATAGCAATCTATTAAAAATTATTGTCGGCTCATTTTATTTGTTTTTTAAAATGTAAGATTTTATCTAAGATGAAAAAATTAATTATTCGAATTAGATTTAAATCAATTTTGCTTTTTAATATATTTTAGATTGCATTCAATTCTATTTTAAAATACGAAATTCCAAAGAAAAACCAAAAAGGAAAAATATGAAAATAATTGGAAAAATGATGTCATTAAATTGGCTAAATATAAAATTAATTTGCATATTTCCATTCCATTTTCAATGCAATTGAATTTGGAAATTTGAAATTATAACTAGAATATATCAATTGTTTTATAATTTCAAAATTCCTGACTTTTATTTTATTTGAAATGTTGGAAGAGAATTGTAATATTGTACGCAAAATTTGGATAAGTACTGTAATTTGTATGAATTAATTTATAAACAATGCCTAAAATCAGTTTTATATTTTTTCATTTATGCCAACTTTAAACAATATTCTTCACTATGGTTGTAGTGCAAAAGAACTTGTTTCGATATATTGATGTATCAGAGCAAAGCTTTTTCACTGCTACAACAACAATTTATGTATATGTAAACAAATTTCCTTCAGTACAGTTCACAATATGTGCACACATTTTATTCTTCGAGTAAAATTTTAAAAGTGACATTTTAAAAAAAATGTTATTTTGGGTTAAAAACAAGCCTAGTTCAATAAATTTAATAAATTTTCTTTAATATTTCGGAACAACAAAATAAAAAACATATGTTCATACGTACGAGGCGTTCAGGGCATCAGTGGCGTACTTGCAAAAATGGCATTTTAAATTGTGATTGAAACATTTAAAATATGTAATTTTTACGAAAATTGTTAAAAGACAAACACAAACTTATGTTAAAATAGAGTAAAAAGAGAAGTAAACTAAATATTTTGAAAATATAGAACAATTTTTTAGGCTCTATTGAATAGAATCTCTATTGAATATAATAACTTATTTTTGCAAAAATATTGTATAGGTCACTAATTTGTTCAAGTTCTTAACAATTTAATATTTTAAATTTCCTTCGGAACGCTAACTAATTGGAGGAGAACTATTTTTGCCCCTTTTTGCACGTGTAAATCTCTAATGGATTTTAAGTAATATAAATTCATTTATTAAGTATGTATTGTCGCAGTAGTGTTTCTGAAATTAATTTTTATTAAGTATTGCCGTGTAGCATTACAGAAATTAATGCTAATTTAACAGTATTCTGATTAAGTTCTGATTCAAGGTGAAATATTGAATAAATTTTAAAATTAATTTTTGAATACCCTATTTTTCCCTGATCTAAGTATATGTTAAATAGAGAAACTCTATTCTAACAAATTAATTAAAATTGATTATGTTATTTCCTATATAAAGTAAACATAACCCCATAATTTTTTTAAATTTTCATTTACATATATTGTTCTTATTACTGTAAAATTCTAAACATTTTACGTTTTTTTGTCTGTCTTAATAACTTTGTTTATTGATTTCGTTTTTTTTTATATATGTACATATGTATATAAATTCAATGTTATTTTTGAAGTAACAAAATTTTAGAATAAGTTTTTCGACTCTTAAAGAATTTTTTTAAAAATTTTTTTTTTAGATTTTTAAAGAAAATATGAATAATTTGGAGAAGTGCAAAAGAAAAATTTTTTTTTGCTATTTTTCACTTTAATCGCGTACAATTTATTTTTGCAATAAAAATTTTTATATTTTTCTACTTCAATTAAAATGATTTCGTAATTTTATATAAAACTCGTGGTAAAATTTAAAAATATTTTTTTTTTATAATTGCAAAAAAATTTATAAAGAGTATAAGAAAATTTTTATGAAATTGAAAGAAAATCGACAGCAACGTCCGTAAAGCCATGTGGCATTTAATTATTAATTTGGCCTACTATTGAAAACTTTTCAATTGATACTGCTTATTATTGAGATAAATTCAGTGTTATTCATACTTTTAAAATTCTTTTTATAAACTTTGATTGTAAAATTTTTAAAAAAAAATTTCTTTATTATATTGTAAATATGGTTATGTGTAGGTACATATTTTTTTTTTAAAATGACAAAGATCACTTGAAATTTTTTATTTTTAGAAATATAAATTTTAATATTATTTTACATTAATTACGAATCAGAAGAAATTTAATTAATTTATTAATATCGAACAGTTTTAATCGAATAAAAAACGTTGAATTAAATTAATCGATTTATTTGCAACAAATACGCATTGTTGCCCCTCTATTTGGGATTATATAACTCTTTAAAGTTTCCATTTTCGATTTCAAATCCCTTAAATAATTCCAAAGCATATTGATCTTTAAAAATTTAAAAATTAAATTTAAAATGACTGTCTTTCTGTTTGATTTTTTTCTAAATGGGAAAAAAACAAAAAAATCGATTGCAACATTATTGATTCTCTATTGTTTCAACCTCAAACTTTACACAAACACCAACATAATTATTTCTTTATTATTATTTTATTGTTTCATTATTAAATTACAAACTATTAAAAAAATAAATTAATAAAAAAATCATAATAAGTGTTTCTCATTTCAATGTAATTTTGTAATGAGCCAAAAATATTTTCATTTGTCATCTTCACATACGACATACGACATGTACAAATATAAAAATCATTAATGAAAATAACAACAACACCATTTTCTCTAATAAATTTTGTTTTTCGATTCTTTAATCCAAAAATAATTATTACAAATCACAAAAACAATATGATTCGGTTTTACAATAAATTTAAAATTTAATTTACAAAAATGTTTTTCTATTAATAAGCTACATATATATTATAAAAATTTTTCATCGGAGATCAGTCGTCGTCGTAACGACAAATCCATAACCTTGAATACGATTTTTATAATTTTAACTATAAATAGAATTTTAGAGAGTTCAATTTTCAAAATTCCAAAATTGCATTCATTAAATAAAAAAAAAAATTGTTTTGAAAAATTTAAATAAATATTTATTTTCTCTTAATTTAACACCATATTTAAAACAAAAAAAAAAATCCGACAAATAATCAACATCCACGCATTTTAAAATATTCCTATTAATTTTCCTACTCGCATAAATACATCCATACATACATATACAGTTTACCACTTTAATATTTGAGTGGCAAAGGAAAGAGAAATTTAGTAGCCAAAAAAGAAAATTTTGTTTAAGATTCCACATTTTTTTTTTCATTAAGAAAAAAAAAAAATTTTTGAAAAAAAAAACTACCACATGAAACTAAGATTAAAATAAATTTTTAGGATCACCAATTCCTCCTGAAGATAACAATAACGCAACATCACCAACAAAAAGCCTTAAACAAATTTGTTTAGAATCACTTGTTTCTATGCCATATGGCAAAGATGTTTTAGAAGAATTAGCATCAGTTTCTCAAAGTTTAGATTATCTAACTGATAAACCAGAAGTACAGCATATGCAAGCAGCTAAATCTGAAGAATTACTTAATTGTATCGATATGCCTTATCCATTACCAGAACCACCAAAAATACATAATATTGAAATCAAATTTGAACCGTCAAATTCTCAAACAATTTTAAATAATAATCATTATGATTCTGAAATACCACCACCATTACCAAAATTACCAGCTGAATTACAAAAATTCAGTACACATCAAAATTATCAAACTTATATAAATGAACTTCGAAATGTCACTTCAAATAATAAAAATTCAAATGAATCATTATCAAAAATTCCATATGATGGTAACTTGAATTCAAATTATACAAAGAATTTGGAAAATTTTCAAGAATCAAAATATAATTTTACTTCTAACAAAAATAATGCAACACAAACACAATCAACAATAATACCACCACCGGTACCCCCACTACCATCATTTGGAAGAGAAAATAATTTCAAAGAAAATTATTCTAATATTAAGAATGAAAACAACTCACAGCATGAAAATAATCATAGATTATTAGAAATCATTCGAAGTAATTCAGTGGATCAACCGTCACCCAAAGAAAACACTAATTCAATTTTATCATCACTGATGTCTAAAACATCATCTTCTGATATGAAAACTGGAAATCAATCGTCGTCAATAAGTACAGAGACGAAAAAATCAGAAAAAATTTCTGAAATAAAAAGTTCATCAATATTGTCAGATGATAAGTACAGTAGTAAAAAATTTAGTGATTTTCAATCACCCAACAGCCGTCATTTTAACAATGATGATATATGGAAGTTCTTAAATGATCCAAACTATTTTAATTCATCATCTGAGAAGTTTCCCACAAGTGAATTTGATAAAATATTTTCAAACCAAAAAGATTCATCTACTTCTACATCAACACCTTCTTTAACAACTTCTATACCTGCAATTCCTAAGCGCTTCTCAAATATTGAAACTTCAACATTTGAATCCAAAAAAGTTTTTCAAAATGGTAAATTAATCTCAGAGGTTCAGAACTCTAGTCACAATGATCGTGTTGATGAAAATTCTTTATCTTCTCTCAAAAAATTCATATCCGATGGTAATCTTAAAGGTGATATTGAAGAAAAATGGTCATCAAATAATTTTAAAACTTTCAAAAATACATCGGATGCGACAGATTCTATTAATAAAAATGTCGCAACCGATACTACTACCACTGAAAAGAAACCACAACAAACAGATCAAGCATCACAAACATCACAAAAGCAACAACCGAATCAACAACAAATACATGAACAATTTCACACTAAAACAGAAGAATCTCGTAAATCAGATAGTTTCTCTTATGATGAATTTAGGCAAAGAGCCAAAGAGAGAGCTGAAAGTAAATCTAAAAGTGAAATATTCAATTCTGATGATATATTTAAAGAATTTAAGAGATTTTCAGAAAATTTAGATCGTGATATTGCAAAAAAAACCGATAATTTAAGGTCAAATTATCATGTCCCCGATAGTATAAACATACCAATTAAAATTGAAAATCAACCGCCAAAACAGCAAAGTTCAAGTACACATAATGAAAGTGCGAAAAAAACTGAACAGTTTTCCTCGCAAACTCAAACACAAAATGAAAAGAAAGAAATCCAAATACCTATTAATTTTGAAAAAGAAATCTCAACAAAACAAGAAACGAAAACAGAAAAAACTGTGCACGAGGACCTTAGCGAATTTAGAGTTCCTTCAATGAATCAAGTCAAAAAGGAATTTAATATACCAATAAATATGGAACCAAATAAATTTGAGCAAAAAGTTTTCTCAAATCCACCCCCTCCACCACCACCGAAAACCGAACACACTATACCAATTCACTTTGATACAGATCTGAAATTCAATAAAACTGAAACTTTCAATGAACAACATGATAAAATAAAAGATGTGCCAATGTGGCTTGGCACAAGTAAGGAATCTTTAACTTCGAATATTTCGAAATCTCAAAAAGAAGTAAATATACCAATTAAAATTGAAAAACAACAAGAACAAACTAAAACGGAAACCGTTTCTAGCATAAAAAGTGAACAAAAGACATCCTCAGCTCAAAATTCATCAATTCAGACAGATTCACTTCATAATATTGCTAAAGAATTTCGTATTCCAATTAGCGTTCAGAAGGATGATATACATCCCACGTCTTCGGTTCCTGGTGGTAAACGTGAATTTAATATTCCAATACATATAGAAAATAATAATAAAAATCCATTAAAAAAAGATAAATGGGAAACTGATGATGAACTTCCAAGGTCAGCTCCTGCTACAGGATATCATACATTTGATATACCAATTAAAACAGAATTACCATATGCCCCTGCTCATTCTGATGAAAAACGAAGACGAACATATTCGAGCAGTGTACATGAAGATATGTATAAATCTGATAATACATCCGATTATTGGCGTTCAATCGAAAATATATCATCGAGAGCAGCAACACCTAGTTTATGGCGTTCATCTGTAGATTTATCTTCCAGAGTTTCAACGCCCTCTCTGGATAAAGTTGTTAGACCAATTGAAAAAGAAGTTGAAATATGTTTGTTTGGTAAAAGTCCTAAAATTAAGGCACCCAGGTTAACTGCATCAACTAATAATTTAACTTATTATATGCCTTGTCCACCAGAGCATTATAATCAACAACCTTTTAATTATACAACAATGCCAAATAGATCAACTTCAAGACGTAAATATTTTACGAGTTGTCAGTCAATGATTGAAGAAACTCCAAATACTCCGTATTCACAGCAACCACATTTTATACGTCAAAATCAAAATCGTGTTTCTATGGGAAGAGAAATGAATCCCCAAGCTGAATATATTCGAAGAAAAGAAGAAGAACTCAAAAAGGAATATATTGCACTAGAGGATGAACGTGAAAAACTTTTAAAAGATTTGACACAATTTAATGAAACTCTTGAAAAGGAAATTTATGAAACACAATTAAAAAAGAATGCAGAAAATCGTAAACAATTAATGCAGGAACTAAATAATTTTCATCAAATGAATCAGAATCATCAACCAAGACGACGCTCATGGAATGCTCAATCTGAAGAAGAGGCCCTTCAACAAAGGATGCGTAATGAATGGCTTAATAAAATAGCTGAACGTGAAGATCGTCGTATGCACAAGGTTATTAAAATAACAAAACCAAGTGATGATTTACAACAATCATCGAAAATTTCTGGACAAAATGTTAGAAAACTTTCAGATACAATAAATATTGGTGATGAATTTTTACGTCGTGTTAAAGAACGTCGCACAAAATTAAATATGCCAGCTGATAGTGATTGGGAAAGCGGTGCAGAATCACAACCGATACCAAGTAAAGATCAAAAACATTTTATGCAATCAACAACTGATTATAATGTAAAAATTATGGAAAATCGTTCTGAAGCTGATTTAAAAAATTTACCAAAACATTTAGTTGAATTTGCTGAATTTGTTAAAAAATTCGAAGAGGAACACAAGGATTTGGGTATCTTTGAGAATGAAAAAAGGACTATTACTAATTTATCAAATAGTATTAGTAACTTATCAAGTGGTGAGTCTCGAAAAGATAATTTAAAAATGGTTGGATTTGCTATTGTTGCTTTTGCTTTGCTTTGCTGGAATGTTTTACGCAACAAAAATTCTTACTAAACTATAAAATATTCTAGTAAACTTTAGATTTTTCTTATAATATTTTTTAGAGTATAAGAAAAATTACTGTAATTTTTAATTAAATTTCGGCATGGTTTCCAATATTCGTAACATGAAGAATGGCAATTATATTTTAATTGGATTTAATACTGCAATATTAAGAAGAAATTCAAGAAAATTCAAATAATTCAAAGTGACATTTACTGTCACTCTACAGTAAAATATTTTTTACGTTTTTTGACTTCTGCCTTATTACAAATTAAAATTTCGTATATTGCCATTATTTTCTTGTAATTTTTTATTTTAAATGGATCAAAATAAGAAATTAGACGAAAGAATCAAGGTAGTCCAAATAATTCTGTTAAAACATTATTTATTAAATTTCAATAAATTTTGCAATTTCTCAAATAGAAACCAAAATTCGGAAACCAAAAAGAAAATGCTTCTTTGCTTGTTTTTGTAATCATAAGCCTAATTTTAGTATTTAGTTGTGTTTTAATATAAATTTGCTTAAAATATATTAGTTACTAACTAAAACTAGTTATTAATATTTGAAATTTAAATAAATTACGTAAATAACAAAAATATAATCTTTGTGTTATTTTTTACTCTTAGTATTTTTAAATAAATAAAAATAATTTTTTTTTTAATATTTAAAAAGTATACAATTATCTACAAAATAAAATTTTTTAATAAATTATGCATCTTAAATTAAAAATAAGAAAATGTACTTGACTTGAAATCGTAAACTTGGTAAAATTGTACTATACTTTGTTGTTATAATTCTACGTAACAACATAGTTTCTAAGTATTACACATTTAAATTACTAGTATATAAGATTCGAATATTTGAATTTTTCGAAATATATTCTACACGCTAAATGGAAAATCAAATGCTTTCAATAAGTTTGCTGAGTTTTGAAATACAATTAATAAAAATACGCAGCAGTTTATTTTGAGAAGCACAACATAAAAAAATTAAAAACTATGAGTAGAAACAAAAACCAACACATATGCAATTGATTCGTGTCTAAAATAAACTAATTTTTATGGTATAAATTACTTTTTAATAAAATACTCGTATGTATCGTTTCATCGGAATAATTCATTCATCAATATCTCTTTGTAGATTGTAGATTAGACATGTGACAAGTAGGTGTTAGACTTGTGAAAAAAGTGACTTGTATTAGAAAGCGATCTCTCGAGATCTATTCTCTTGACATCTTGTGAAAATCGACTTCTCACTAATCTCTTGCTCAGGATGCCTTTATTTTTCTTTTCTCAGAAAATTTCTTTCAAGTTGTACGATTAATTCGAGTAATATTCCTGAATATAATATAATCATTATGCCACTTTCGAAATTATTAAATTTCACTCTTGTAAAGTGTAATGTCACAATATCTCGGCTATGTATATTTTTGTCATTTATTGTTATTTTGTTTTTATGGTTTTTATGTTTGAACCACTTGCAAGATGATGATTGAAATCTGATAATTGCAAAATGAAGGCCTATTCAAAATCAAACCAAAAATATTAATCCGCAAGCAATATTCGAATTTTATGTGGCAAATAGGTATGCTTCCTCTCCCGGTGGTTGAGAAAAAATAAGTTTTGCTTTGAACAGTCACTCTTATATTACTTATATTCTCAAAATTTTTGTTTGCAATTTTTCAAGGTCAAAATTTTTCAGCTCAAAATCATTAAATTACAACTAAGAAATAAAACATTTTTAATAAACCGTATATCGTAAATGTGAAAATAATAATTTAACACGGTTGATAGGCATATACATATGTATATACATCTGCATATTGTAAAACAAATGAATTACCAACGAAATTAATGAATCAATAGCATTCCTAATTCTCTATCCGGTTTATTATGTCATCAATAAAATAAATTAAATTATAAAATTAAAAGACAATTTTGTTTTTCACACTTAAATCTTCAATGAATAATTAATTCAACTTAAAAATCGATTATTACTTATTTGACATTATTTTAAACGTCAAAACACTTATATAAATGTTATGTCATCTCTTAATAATACAATATGTATAAGGAGAACTCAATTTTTTACTTTTGTTTTTGTTTATCAAAATGGTGATTCACAAAAAATGATTTCAAATTTATCAATTATCATTTTGGAATAAAACAGTAAAAATAATCAGAGCATAACTAAAACCTTCAAATTAACACGATATATCATTTCAAGGCCTGACACAAATTATTTAAGTTAAATTCTATAGCTGAACACGATTTGTTATACTAGTTTTAATCAATAATTATAGCAATAGTGTAAAAACTATAAGTTATTGAACTTTAATTTTTATTAAACACTATGTTTGAAAATGAAAAATTTTTACAAAATCCATTTGTAATTTTTAAAGTCTATTAAATTTCTAATTCTTAGACTAGCTGTTTTAAAATAAAAGGGTGTCTTTAAAATCACCAAAAAAAATCATTCTATCTCGCAAGTAAAAAGTGTCAATTTTACATTAACAAAATTAATGTATCTTCATTTATAAACCAAATAAAATGTTACAACGGAAAATCAAGGAAAGGCAGAGAATCTTGTTAACAGAAAATTTAGGAATAGAAGCAGTTTTAAAGAAAGAAAGAAAAGAATTGTCTCTTCTTAACTTCCTTTTGTAGAAATGCATTGTCTGACAGAGATTTTAGCATTGACAATATCAAATGTTTTCCGAACATGACATATCGTAAACTTTTTCTGTTGACATTTTAGAATATAAGTACGCGAATTCGCATGCGTCGTAAAGCATTTTTTGCGAAAAAAAGCCAAATTTTTAATATTACAAAAATCAAATCAACTCTCAGAATAATTTTCTTAAAAATCCTACTATTATCAACAACGCCCAAGTAAACTATATCTGCAGATTTAGTTTACAATAGTAAGATTAAAACTCTTACCATAATTAATTTACAATTAAAATTTATCACCTAAACCTAAAATTTAAATTTATACCTTATATAATTATTTTACACTTAATAAAATTTTTTATTGTTGCAAATTTATTTTAAGATTTATATTTATATTAATCATTCTATTCTTATAACGATTAAATAATATCTGAACTACAATTGGCGGTCAATGAAAGTGTGTAACCCACTCAAAAAAAAACATAGTTAAAACATTATTATTCATATTTTTTTTTCAAAAGTAGGTGTGTATTTCATTTTAGAAAGATCATAAAACGGAAACTTTGTGTGTTCACTAAATTACATAATAAAAATCTTTATGGACCATTTATCATTTTACACAAAAAAAACAAGAAAAAATTTCAAAAAAATATTAAAAATAAATTCTCAGCCTCAGTTATACGGGTATAAATACGGGCATAAATAAACTTTTCTTCTCTACTATTTAATATTATTTTGAAGAATTAACAATATTTTACAGTTAAAATAAGCAAAATAAATAATTCTTTACATATATAAAGCTAGTTTGTATTGTGTTCTTGCTAATGGTAGTTTCAAATCTGACATTGATGACATTTAAAACAGTTCCCTTCCGATTGGTTAAAATGACATATAATGTGCATAATAGTCAATTAATAACAGTCAAAACAGAGAGTTTTACCCCTCTATTGTATTCTACATATTGTAGCAAATATTTAGCATTTTCAAAAAAATATTGCATATTTATAAGGTAACTATGTACGCCGCAAATTTTCAATTTAAGAAAATTACGTCAAATTCATACCTGATTGAAAATTCTTGTTCTGCAGCAAGTAGTGCTAACTCTACAATGTTTTACAATCAATGACACTTAATACAAAATAAATTACTTCTTCCACAAATAGCTATGTGTTTCAAAAATATTTAAATTATTTTGACAATATTATAATCTACAAAATACACAACAAAATTTTTTCAAAATAAGAATGTCAAAATATTAAAAACTTTTTTTTTTTTTGGAAAAAATTTAAGTAAAATTTCATATACAATCAAATATCTTATTTATTTTATTATTATTAATTTGACATTTCAAATTCTTATTTGGCATACGTAATTTGTATTTGTTGAAAATTACGTTCTCTTATAATTGAAAAAACAACAACAACAAAAGAATTTTAAATTATAAAATCAAATAGAAAATGAGAGAAAAAAAACATTGAAATTTTTCAAACATAATTTATTCAAATTCTAAGTAATTTAATTTTTTTCCATAATTATTTATTTACATATGTATTTACATGCGCACATATTAATTTATTTTCCATCAATAACATTTTTATTTAATTTATGTACATACATACATACATATAATTATGTTCATATTAGTTTTTAATAATTTTTCTTAGACACTTTACAATTTTACTGGAGAATTTTTTATAGTTCCAAACTTCATCTGTAAATTTTCTATGTATGGATGTATGTTTTCTCTCATACTTTTAATTTTTTTTTTAGAACATAATTGGTTATTTTCCTCTCTATAAATAGGACTCGATTTTTTAGATCTAATTTACAAACATTTATACATCAACAGCGTCCCTAAATACATACATATACTTGAGTCAAATACACAAAAAATTAAGAATAAGAAAAAACGTAAAAAAAAAAATATTTATAATATAAACAATGTAGATGTAGGTTATTCTTGCATAAATACACATATCTCAAACACATATGAAATAAATGTGTCAAACAGTGAACGTCAATTAATGTTAAATCTAAAAAATTACTTATTCGTATTTTACTAAATATGACAGTCTTTCTGTTTGTTTAAGTCCAATTGATCAAATGAATAATATTTCAAATTAAATTCCTGGAAGAATTTCACATGTACCACAATAGATTTATGGTATACATTTTTTTATTTTTCTATGAATTCTGTTTTATTTGAACTACATCCTGGATTGTAGAAACTTACTTTGTTTT